CCCCGGATCCCTTCGCCTCTGCGCCCCTTCTCAGCCCGGGAGCCGCCTCGCCCTCCCGTCCCCTCCTCATCCTCATCCCCATCCCCACCGCTCTCGCCGTTCCCGTCCCGCCGCCCTCAGGGCGTGAGCCCTCACTTCTCTGGTGGCACCGGGCAGAAGGCGGCTGCGTCCTCTTCGTGAAGGCGCTGAAGCCTTGTCCGGGCGGCTTCCCAGCCCCCCGCACCCCCCCCCCCCCGGGGGGGGCTTAAATTTTCCTGAATCAGATTTACCCATTTTTTGACAAGTGGGTGGAGGCCCACCGATAAGCAGGACATTGCCAGGTTTGGGGGATCTGTGGGAGCGCTCCCCACACACACAGTGAGCACATGGCCATCAGCACCAGGCACATACGGCACAGGTGGGCTGAGCGCTGTGCAGCTCCGTGTCCTCTGGGTGCAGCGTGGCTCCAGGGTGCTTTGTTGGTCACACCTCATGCTGTAAAAGCTGAAGATGGTTGAAAACACGGAGAGGCGTTTTCATCACCCATGTAACCCTCCCATGTTGGAGGCGCAGGTGTAGGGCGGTGTGCTCAAGCTCTGCAACCACAAGGAAGCTTCAAAATGGAGGCAGGATTCTCACAGTGAGATACATGCAGCGTCGTGGCACAGCGCTGGTGGACAGGTCCGTGCTGGAGGTGGGTGTGGGTGTGCAGCCTGTGGCTGGGCGATTCCTGCTTAGCGGGCAGTGCTTTGGGCATGGCACTCTGGGGCGGCTGCCAGGCTTCTGGGCCTCACCACAGTCATGGCTTGAGCCGTGAGTGCAGACATCTCGGGGAGTGTCACAGAGAAAAGTGTAGCACCGTAGCTGTGGTAAAAGCATAATTTTGAAAATTAAAGCTAAGTTACTCAGCCACGATTAGCTGATTTCATGCACTCTGATTTCCAGGTGCCCTGGCAGACCTGTCTCCATAAAGCCTCACATCCTGCAAACAGATGCTCAGTGTTCTCGGGTACCCCGTGCCAATCACAAGATAAGAGAGACACTTGTACTCCAAGTGTGCATGGTCTGGAAGTTGGGAAGTCCAGTGAGGCAAGGAAGGCAGTAACAGAATAGAATTGATGTGTAGGATCTAAAAATCAAGGAAGGAATGTTCCTGCTGGACAATGCTTTGTCCTCCTGCTCGTCACATTGCTCAAGGTAAGTTCACAGAATTCCAGAGGTTTCATCTTACCGATATTGACTGCTGCTCAGGAGAATCAAAAGGACACTGTGAGTCACCTGTGACACTGCCAGGGGGAAAAAGGGAATGTCACAGGCACTGCGTCCCTTGGGTCTGAGCGGTGCAGAAGTGGGGAGGGAGCAAGTTGTTAGCAGTGTGCAGCAGCATGGCTGGGATCTGGGGTTGGTTTGCCTGAGCCCATGAACGTGCACGGTCTCAGGGCTGTGAGACAGAGGGGACCTTGCCTTCTCTTCCTTCCTGTGCATTAGTCTTTAAGGAAATCTTTGAGATTTCTTTCTTCGTTAACTGCTCTTCAGCTGGTGGCTAAGGCAGGCTGTGCAAAGCTGAAGTTTATCCTACATAAAAGTCTGGCAGTGCTCACTGCACTGTGGGTGCTGGTGGGGATTGAAGAGGTCACAGAATAATGGGAAGAACAAGTTCTCCTCTTGGTGTGGACTGTACTGGTGTGCTGTGCTGAGGCTTAGTCCTGAGTGCCGCTTCAGCACCCAGATGAGTTTTCCATCCTGTCATTCTTCCAGAAATGTCCAACCTCTCTTCCTGCCAGATTGCAGTGATTGTGAAGAGGGATGCCACAAGTGCATAAATCCCAAAATAGATGGTAGTAGCAGTGTTCGGTTGTTTGCTGTTTGTTGTCCAACTGGATCTCCCACGCAGATGACATAAAGCTGCAGTCAGGTTTGTGTAGGTCAGGCAGCAAAGGTCAGAGTAGCCCATCAGCTCTGTCCTCCTGAAGAGGAGCTGAGCAATGCACTGGTTGCACCAAGATGCTTGAGAAACATTGCAGCACCACACTGGTTGCTCTTGGGGATGATCAGCACCTCTACTGACACCCAGCTTGAAAACTTGACAGCACCAGAAAGAGCAGGTCTGTGTACCACATTGGTGCACCGTGCTGAGAGGTGAGGCATGCATTCAGATAAATGAAACAAGGCCGGTTCGTAGCCCTCAGCTGTGTGCCTTGGAATGAGGTCACGGTGTTGGTCAGTGTCAGCTCCCGTGCCTGCTGGTGAGGTTTTGTCCGCAGCAGCACTTATCTGTCTTGTTGTGTGTTGGTTGGGGTATGCTTATTGTCTGTCTGTGTGTCTGTCTGCTTGTCCCTAGGTGCAGCAGAGCTGGCAGGTGCCTGGGTGTGCCTGTCTCTCCTCCTCCACACATGGAGGATTTCCTCACGCATTCCAAATGAGTACGCTTGCATTGCTTTATTATTGTTATTATTCTGCAGCAGCCACGTGCCTCATAGTGGTATTTTAGGATCTGTGACTCACTAAACCATAATTTCCTGCTCATAGCCTACCTGAAAAGAATTGTCTTGGTGTTGTCCCATTTGCAGGAGGGAGATGCACTGCTGGGTGAAACCGTAAATATGGAGAAAGATGCTGGGCACAGAGCCATGAGATCCTCCGACCTTCTCCTGGCTGCAGTGGTTTGTCTCTGCCCAAGTGGTGATTAATTGACAGGCAGACATAGGGCAGATTCCTCACATTTCCGGACAGTGCTGTAAAGAACAGAGTGTGAGCTGAGCAGGCAGAGCACCTGTCTTTATGGCTGCACTGTTCTAGCTGGGTGTGAATTTGCTGTATCATTTCTGGTGTTGGTTAGATTTTTACCAATTACAACTTTTACAGCCACTATGAGGTCTTAAATCTGAATAGCAAAATCATAGAATGGAATCATAGAATCATTTGAGTTGGAAGGGACTCTTAAAGGCCATCTAGACTTTAGTGAACAGGACACTTCTTGTCCATGCACTAACTTTGATAGAACTGGTGGTGGTGGGAGAGTCATCCCACCAAGTCCTTATGGACAGCTGGAGAGGCAAACCAGAAGTCTTGCAACTCCCCAGATGAACCTAAACCAGGTTGTGATGAAAATGGTGCCGAGTCCCTGTGAATGGGAGAAGAGATTCCTGCCCGCCGCCATTCAGCTGGAAAGAGAATACCCAGGCTGCCCTCAGCCTCCAGCACGCACAGCTGCTGCTGCTAAAGTCTGTCACCAGCTTAGTCAATCATCCATTATTTATTTCCAAATCATATGTAAAGCTCTGCACCACAGCCTTTAGTCTACCTATGGGGAAAAGAAGAGATGAAGCTTCTGAAAGACCTGGGAAAACAAAGGCAGAGAAGCCTCTGAAATTTTTTGCTTGGGAGATTGTCACATGTAGTTACATCTAAAAAAGAGAGGAAAGGGAAATAAAATCGTATGCAAGAAGGGGTTGCCACCTCGGTGCATATTCCTTTGATCTCTCCGTGTTGTTTGTTGCAGTTGATTTCTTTTAGCACTGGAGCTCCTTTGTTTACAAGTGTTCCTAAGATGCAAAGCGCTTCGCTCATGGCGTCCCTCATGCATGTTTCCCTGCAGCCTGGGCCATCTGTGCGGCTGGTCACCAGTCCCTGCTGCCTGCCTGCTGGAGAGAGGCCTCCTGGCACCAAGGAAGAGCAGTCAACAGAGATGTTTGCAGGCAAACAAGAGCATCTTTGTGACAAGCCATTCGTTAGGTGTGTGGATGAGCAGCGTCTTTGTCACAGAAATATTTGCTAGTAAAAAACAGTAAGAGGTAGATGGTAAAACAGCTGCTCAGAGTGAGGATGAGTGTTCCAGACTGCTTTTGACGTACTGGATTCCTTCATTTTCATAAAGATGATGGCAGGGTGCTGCCTGAGAGCCTTGGCTCTGGAGGCCAGATCAAACCCATGTCATCATTCTGAGTGGTCTTCTTTGCATTTTAATTGAGTTCTCTGATCCGTAGAACTGTTTGGTTGCACCAGAAGGGAAGAGAATGTTGCCATGAAATTAGAGAAACCCTTTTAATCTCTTAGCATCTATGGTGACAGGCCACCTGCAGGCTGCAGTCACAGTCTGTTGGACCATCCCCGGAGCTCTGGGAGAGCTCCTGCACTGTGCTCAGACCGAACTGGAGGGCAGTGAGGTTTTCCTCTGTTGTGTGCAAAAAGAGTAGATTCGTGGAAAAAAATACATCTTCCTTAGTAGGTAGGTACTGTGAATTACAAAGCAAAGCCTGTATCTTTCCTTTTTTCCTCGTTTTTCCTTTACCTTATCTACCAGCATCCAAGACTGTCCTAGTTCCAAAGGTACATCTACACCGTACAAAAGAGCACAGTGAGGGGTTTTTGAATTAGCAGTGACCTAGATCTGAGCTCAGAACAAAGGTTTCCTGAGACCCTATGGAAGGAAGCAGACACTCCCTCTGCTAGCCCAGCTGTTGCAGCCCTGGGAAGTTGCAGGACCACTCCATGTTATACCACAGCATCAAGGACTGTGTCTCTATGCATCAGCCTCCTGGTGTCGCTAGCAGGGCACCTGCTCAGGCCCTTCCTGAAGGTGAAGTCTCGTTCCCAGACTGCTGAAGCATTGCACATTGTGCAGTATTAATGGGGCATAAGGGACTGCTCAGGTGAAAGGCAGGCAGCTCCAGGCTGGTGAAGATCATAGCATTGGATGTATTGGAGGACACTTGCCTTCAAATCTGTACAGGAATGAGGGGGAAGTCAGCCAAGTATGAGTCAAGCCTGATAGTGTGCAAGTATAACTGGATCTTGGATTACTGAACAACATAAAAAGCATCCCAAAATCCAGTGATGCCCTGTATATCCCGCATGGCTGGCACTCAGAAGACACACTGCTCTGCTTACACACCCTGCTCACACCTCCAGGATCAGGCGGAGGTTGCAACCACTTTCCAGGACAAGTGTGCATTTTTCAAAACTCACCAATTACTAACATAACTAACACCAGAACCACTGGGCTTACTTTGCATGTATGGCTGTAACTTTCATTCAGCTACATTCTTCCACAATAACAGGTAGGCATGATCAAGTATGCATCCAACTACACCTAGGCTTAAAGAAACGTCCCTCTCAGCTCGATGGTTCAACCTTATCACTGTTTATGAGATTAAAAATGAAGAGTGGGATCAAATGGGGACATTCATGCTTCTAATCACTTACAGCTTACCCACCTTACAGCTGAACTGCAGGAGGAATGCTGTGAGCGCTCATTTCACAGAGCAAGCAGACCTGCCAGGAGAGCAGCTGCCTCTCTGAGACCCATCCCAGCAACATGTGAAGGAGTTAAGATCTCTCAACAAGCACAGGTGTCTGGAAAGTTTCTGGTTTGGCTAAGCCTTTGAAAACCAGGGCTTCTGTGAGTGGTCTCTGTGTGGCATCTAGTTTTATTGCTCTCTGTTAAGGTGGAGGTACAGTAGTTGGCCACTTTGTCGTGCCTGACTGTGAACAGAATGCTTTTCTCTGTACAGGACATCAGTGTACTGAGCACAGCTGGCCGGAGTGATGGCAGCAGGAAGGGCTGTGTGGTTTTCCTGCCCATTCTCACATGCCTCTGCAAATCGTGGTGGTGACCAGGCGGGCGGCCCCGAGGAAGCACAGGCTGACTCAGGGTGTGTGGTCAGTGATGCAGTAAATGCTGCTCTCTGCTAAGTGAGCACTTAGCCGCTCCACTGGTGCATCGGGAGGCCTGTTGGCTGTGCTGTCTTTGGAAGAGGTGAGATGAAGGTGTTTCACTCTCCTGACCTTTAATGCTCTTGCGCAGTTGCTGAGTTTGGAATGTCGGCTGCAGGTCGTGGGTCAAATTTCGGTGCAAATGCATTCCCATTTACTTTTCCAGTTGGATGCATTTAGTCTGCTTGCTGTTCTCTCTGTCCAAACGTGCAGAGGGTGCTGCAGTACACAGCTGAGCAGATGGATCCTTTTGTCCCAGAGACAGATCCATGGCTGAGCGCAGGGATTCTTATGTCTACAGA